AACGTCTCTGAACAACAATTAATAAAAATTTTTTTTTTGTATTTTTAAAGAATTTGTGAATTCTCTAAACGGAATTAACGAAAGAATGAATTATTTTCTTTTATTTTCCATTTAAATTGAACTTTCAACGAGCAGAAATGATTGTGACATCGTCACAATGCAATTTTTATTCATATTTTTAATTTATTTAATTTAAAACATATGCTCTCCATTCCAAATTATTAGTTTTGCCCCTGTACATCATACTTTTCCTGACAACATCGAAGTCGTGCGGGTCATATGGGTAACTCAATAATTTTTTAAATAAGATCGTCAAATAATTATTTAACAATTAATAAATGTATTTTATAGAATTTTTAGAGAATTTGAGATTCTTCCAAGTAAAAATGAAAGAATGTATATTTTTAGAGAATTTTAAACATCTGTAAATAACAATTAACGAACGAACGAATGAAATTTAAAAGATTTTAACTCCTCTAAATTAAAATTCATTATATTTTAGATGTTTCTAGACACCGCTAAACAGTAATTACTCAACTAACAAAATAAATTCTGTGAATATTTTTTAGAGAATTTCAGAATCGACATTATTACAGTTAGCACCATCGATAAATCATCAATTAAAAGCAGTATTAAGCATTTTAAAAAGATATTCCTGGCATAAATTCTCGTTACTGACATCAGAAATTAACGGCCATAACGATATCATTCGTGCTTTGAGGAATCAAGTACAAGAATCTACGACTACAGAATTCAAGTAAGATATTTTCAAAAAAAATCCTTATAGAAAAAGCAATTAAATAGTTTTAATTATTAAAAACATGACTTTAGAGTGTTAGAGCAAAAGTGAATTTTAGTATTAAATGTTTGTAAGTGATCTGTTGAAGTTCAAAATGTCATTAATGTATGGAATTTGACACCGGAGGATACTCATATTCACCATCTATTACACAAATAGTTTCAATTGCACCAATAGACTCTAATTTGCGGAATTGTTGGCATTCATTAACTGTGTTGAATAATTTAATAATATGAAAGATATTTACTTAATTGGTATAAAATATTCAACACTTTACAACTGTAAAACTATAAGTTCGATTCTTCCTTCCTCACAATCTCCCCCTCTTTGCTCTTGCTCTTCCTTTGCCTATTGTTAATCAAATTCTCTAAGTTTAACCCCGTAACAATTTGATAAAAGTTGAGGAAAATTGAATCGTTTCTAGTATTAAAATATTTAAAACGCTTTGATAAATTAAATAAAATGAAAGTTTTATAATAACTTTAAAACCGATTTATAGAATGACGTGACTTTCTAAGGATACCGTTCTACACTCGAATTTACATCGCAATTAATGTCTCAAACGTGTATAATTATTGAATATAAATTTTATAAAATAGATTAAGATTTAATAAATTTAATTTTCTAAGGAATAAATTAAATTTTTCTTTCTTTTTAAAAAATTATTTACCTAAATTTAAGCTCGGATACGAGAAGACGAGTACATTCTAAACTCGTTGCAGGTTCGAAATAATTAATATTTTCACGATAAAAGTAGAAAATAGACCGGATTCCGAAGTATATTGGGAATTAGAACCCTTAGCTAAAAGTGAAGCACGGATAATACTTCTGTACAGTACAAAAGATGAAGCTGAAAAGATTATGAATGCTGCTAATGAATGGAAGATAACTGGAAAGAACTATTTATGGGTAGCAACTCAGAGTATAATCGGTAATGTCGGAGCATTTTTCAAGTATTTACCACCTGGAATGTTAGGTAATAAAGTATTTTTTACATTAAATAAAATACATCACAGTCAAACATCGATATAGCGCACTTCTAAAAAGCGTTTTGCCCCCGTAAAACGCTAACGAATACCCTCAAACGAATCTGAATTATAAATTTACGATTATTTTCGATAAACGACAATTTTCACCACCAAAATTACGCTCCTCTATTCTCCTGGAAGAGAAAAGTTACGTTCAAATCTCTTCGTTTTAGAGCAAAACTCGATTTAGTGTCGATTAACGGAGGGGTGTGACTAAATCGAAGTTTGACTGTACATATATCACACGCTTCTCTACTTAAATAGAGTAGTAAACGAGTAAGTTATATTATAAATTCCAAGATATTTAACTTTTTAAAAAGTTTTACTTTTAATTTTTAATCGAGTCTTTTATAGATTTGTAATAAATTTATCAGGGCGTAGTTAAAAGATATGTTTATTTCAAGCTTCTAGTCACGTAATGCATTAAAACATTTAAGTAGACTATCCATCCTTAAACCTTTTAAACCTCTTTATCGAGCGTTATATATATATATACACATAGAAGGGTATGATCTAACCCACTAAATCGGATTAGAAAATGACTTAGTAAAGAAATTTACTTCACTATTTTAGTGTATGATGTAAGAAAAACTTATATAAGATCCATTAAGTTAAACGAATAATGAATAAAATAACTTATCTTGCGACTAAACTATAATATATATCATCATAACTTTAACGTGTAAGCAGGGCGAATTGAATAAACTTTCTTCTTTTTTTATTTATTTTATTTTTTCTCCAAGTTTAATTTAAATATTGACGCGTTTTTACAGGCGAATACGTGTCACGAAAATGAAGCACGAAATTTCTGACACAAAACTTCACTTTTACCGAAAATTTCATTAATAACTAAATAACTCCAAACTTATCTTAGAAGAAAACTTCAAAAAAAAAGACAACTCTTCAATTTTACTAATGGTTAATTTATTTTTAAGAAAAATGATTTAGATTTCCAACGTGTAATTCGCGTTCTACTTTTTTATCAACGTTTCGTTCGTTAATAACGGAAGGGATAACACATAATCGAAAGGTTGAGAAGCATTGATTTAAATGACAAATTATACGAATTTTGCTCGTATAATTTGTTTTATACATAAAATTCTTATATTTTCTTTTTAATACATCGAAGTCGTGCGGGTCATATGGGTAACTCAATAATTTTTTAAATAAGATCGTCAAATAATTATTTAACAATTAATAAATGTATTTTATAGANTTTTACGATAATTATAAAAATAAAACAATTTAAAAAATTTAAATTGGTGCTTCTCAACCTTTTTCTCATTTGTCATCTCTTCCGTTATTAATGAATAAATCGTTAATAAAAATGTAGATCGCGAGCTACTTGTTGAGAATTTATAATTTATTATTATTTTAAACTAAAATTTAACAGTTTTAGTATATATAATAAAATTATACATATTAAGATTATATATTTATTTCGTGATTTATATTAAATTATTCAAATATATTATATATTAATATTTATGAACAATTATAATCAATGTTTATAAAAATATATTTTTAATATATTCCAAACGAATCTGTCAAGACAAGCGAAACAATTTACTTATCTGATAAATAAATAAATTTTATTTGACTTTTCTTTCCCCTTTTTCTTTTATTTTTATAAAAGGTTTCTTCTTTTGTTGTGTTAAAGCCAATTATTAAATTCAGCATCAATGGTGTAGAAAAGATTCTTTATTTATACAATTTTCCATTTAACTTTAAATAAAATTAAAGAAAAGTATACCAATTTAATTGTGTTTTTATCTCGAAAACTGTTGATTATTCGCCATCATTTTCATCCTTTTGATCATTTACAATCATCATTATTCATGCTCTAACATCTCAATTAATTAATTAAATTTTTATTTTGAATTATACTTTAAAAAATCTTAAATAAAGATCAATTTTATTCACAAAATATTTTGATTTTTCTACTTAAATCAATGCTTCTCAACCTTTTTCCTATTTTAGCATTCCTCCTTTATTAAACAATGAATCATTTATTTTAAAAAGTAAATCGCGAACTACTCGTTGAGAATTTCAAATGAAAGTTTAAAAAAAAAAAGCAAATTTAATTAATGACTGACGTAACGTTTTAAAAATTAGGAAATTAAATTTTTTAAAATATTGAACCAATCTATCAACCTCGACCCATTAACTCATTCTTTCCATTATCCAAAAGCGTAATTCTTTAGTTATAAGTCGAGAAATATTAGTTTAAATTTTAATTTAATTAATAATTAATGTAACAATTTTAAAAAATCATCAATTAAAAATAAATTTTTTAAAGTATTTAATCACTCTTTCAACCTTAACCTCTTAACTCATCCTTTCTATTATCCAAGAATACAATTCTTTAGTGAGAAATAGATCAAGCACTACTGGTTGAAAAGTAATATCTTAAATCATAAAATATTTTTTAAATATGAATTTAGCAAATAATCGACTATTTACAATAAAATAAATAAAAATTCGTAACATTTCTCATAGATTTCAACTATTATACATTAAAAAACAAAAGATGTAGTTGAAATAAAAATTTGATAAAACTTCTCTACATTTTTATTTTATATTTTTGAACAAAAAAATATCCTAATTCTCACTTTTAGTTTCTTAGAATACTTTTATTTTTATTTATTTTTTCGCTAAGAAACAGTAACATATCCAAACTGTCATGAATAATTTATGTTTAGCAACATTAAAAATTTCATCCTTCATTATATACTTTTATCATCTATATTTTATGCAACTGTTATATATCTATTGATGTAATTTTCTTTTTAGGTGTATTTTTTTATTTTTTAGTTAATTGTTTAAGATTTTTTGGATAAACATTAAGATAAAATGGAAAGAAACCATTATCACTGAAAGGATCTTTTTTTTGTAATTTGCTCATTACATAGGTGTATACTTCAATGCAACTCAAGAGATTTTGTTAGACGAAATCGAGAAAGCAATTATAATATTTGCGTATGGTTTGAATTCATTTGCTAATGATAAAAACAATGCCAGAACAATTTTATCTTCAAATCTTAATTGTAACGCTTCGGGAGAATCGAAATGGAACAAAGGATCGTACTTTTTCAAGTAAGATTTTATTCTTAAAAATAATAAAAAAAATTAATTGAGATGCTTTAAAAAGAGTTCTTACACGTCTTAAAAATCGAATAAATTATTTTTTAGATATCTTAAAAATATCGATATTAATGTCGATATTAAAGGAAAACCGAAGAGGCGCATCACTTTTGATGCTGAAGGTGCTCTGAAGTACGTGGAGATTGCAGTGATGAATTTAAACAAGGGTAGAAAATGGGATAGGGTATGTATTCATTTATTTTTAAGTTTAAAGTCTTCTTCATCACTTCTACAAAATATAAACATAAGAAAAAGCTTCTTTTTGTTTACGTTACGAACATTTGGGTGAGATTAGAAAGTGGTTTAAAAAATTCGAAGAGGGATTAAAAAATTAAAAATTTTTTAAATTTTTTACTGAAAATTTTCTTGGCAAACAACCGTATATTTATAAAAACCAAATTTTTTAAAATTATTTTAGATTTTTAGCGTAATCTTCTTGAATATTAATGTATTATAATTAGAAAAGTAAGGGCTATAATCGCTTTAAATGAAACTAAAAGTACAAATAGTTAATTAAATTTCTTAATTAATTTCTGTTTTTTTAACATTGTCATTAATTATATGTTAAAGTAAGACATGTTTCGTATGTCGATATCGAAACTTCGAAGTCATAAAATGCTACGTTCACTTTGCTATAACGTTTTATAGTTGTAGTTACTATCTGACAAAGTTGGAGTCTTCTATTTTCAGGTAGGTACATGGACTGAAAAGGGTCTAAGTATTAAGGATATAATATGGCCAGGTGATTCTGCATCTCCTCCTCGTGGTGTCCCCGAAAAATTTAATCTGAAAGCCACCTTTATGGAAGAACCACCTTACATCAATATCGTAGAACCTGATAATAAAACGGGAAATTGTAAAACTCATAGAGCTGTTCCTTGTCGAGTGGTAAGGCCTGAAATGACTAAGTAAGTGTCTTTTTAATATTATAATTTAATTATTTTTAAAGATTAAATTTAGTTTCGTGCAGAAAATATTTGAGTTTAAAGATTTTCGAGTAATTTTAGGATATTGCAAAAGTGTAATACCCATTGCAATTATTTCTTGTGAGAAGTAAACGCTGTTGTAGTTTAAAATTACTCTTATGCAAAAGTGAGTGAAGCTTTAATCATTTTTATGATAAACACTTTAGTTTTGTGACATGTTACGAGAACTCGCAGTGAGTATTGTAGTTTTGAAGCATGGGTTGTTATGAGAATACTGTACTTGATAGACTATTAAACCATTTTTGATTATGACAGCCTAAAAATAGGGTCAATGGTATTGAAATGCTAACCTAAGCGATGGGCATTGTAATGAAAATTAACGTTTGGTTCCGAGAATGCTTGCAAAAGTTATTACAATTGGCGTTACTGTTTAGAATTATTTTTGTTTGAAAAGCCCATTGCAATGGGATTTTGTTACGAGAAAGGCAGCTTTTGGGTTAGTATTTATTCAAATTTTATCGCGAAACTGAATGACAATCGATGACAAGACACGAGAAACAGAATAATTTTCAATAAGTTTAAACATTAATCCGAAAGACAAACATGTAAAAGAATTATCGACCATAATATCACTTAAATGATTTGTTTCCTTCAACATAAAAGGGGAGGAAGATGTATCGGAATACAAAAGCTGTCAATTAACTGATGGCATCGTTGAACAAACAAGAATCGTGTTAAGGTCAATAGGCACATCAAACAGGAATAATTCAGTTGGTACCACATCTTTTAATATCAAAAATAAACAAATGATTCATTAATGTCAAATTAATTCATTAGAGGAAAATATTGTCTAACAAATTGGCTAAGTTTAATCGAACTTTGAATTCATAAATAATGCAGGAAGATAGAGAAGAAAAAAATGAAACTATTCCTCATTATTATGCAGATCCATAAGTACTTAAAAGTTTTAAATTACTCGATAATTTTGATATTTATAAATTAGTTAAAGCAAAATCTATAAGTAAGTGAGAATGTTACTACACCTCTAAGGTCAAGAAAGGATTATTGATTGGTACAGTTATCGGAGATCTTTCGCTTTCTCTGACACAAAAATAGGTTTATGTAACATAAAAAAGTAGATCAAAGAGTATTTCATGTAACAATAACTCGATATAACATGCAGTAAATATTCCGATATTTAAAGTGAAATTTAAGCATAAAACATGTGTTAAAGTGTGTAACAAAATATTCAACTAAGTCTGCTTTATTATTATTATTATTATTATTATTTTAAATAAAAATCTTTATTTTTTCCTATATTTTAAGTTTTGTATCGATATTAAAATTTTACGTAATGTTACAGTTTCTTTTCAACGTTAGCAATATTTTTCAAGTTAAATGCCACTTATTCAATTTAGTAAAGAAACTACTTGATACTTTCTTTATTCTTCTTGCATTATTCACAACTGTTGAGTTTCTAGAACATATTTATAAAATAATAAAAGCATCAAAATGTTGAAATTATCAACAGAATTTTATATATTTTATTCTATATTTTATATAGAATAAAAGGCCAAAAAGTCAGTTAACTAGTGTTTTTTTTTTACAAAATTGAAGGAAACGTAAGTAAAACGAGCAATTATTTAATTTATTTAATTTAAAATATATACTCTCCATTTCAAATTAAGTGTCTTGCCCCTGTACATCATACTTTTCCTGCTAGCAATAGAGTCGTGCCTGTCATCTATCTAACTCATTTAAGGGGGAAATTTTGAATTGAAATGACGTGATTTCCGTTCTAAACCGAAAATTAGCTGACTTTTGGTCCACCCTTCTTATATGTATACTTACTTCCCAGGAAGCATTTAAATATATATTTATATTAATCTCGTAAATAATTCTCAAGAAGGTAATTAATGATTTAAGAAATGATTATATTTATTCATTTAGAAATGATAAAACGAAGTAGACACCTCATTTGTTTATTCTTCAAATAAATTAATCATAACAAGTATAAAAATAAAGAAAAGGATAAATTATCTTTCGCTAATTATAGCTGAAATATTTCAAAAACATGATTACCAGTCTGTAATGCTTATAATTAATAATTTATATAATTATCTTCGTAAATATATAACTAAAAATATTATATTTCCAATAGAAAAATTTATGTCGTTCGTCGAATATTTTTCTTATTATTATTGTTTAAGTAATAATGTTTATTCAGTTATAATTTATGCACGAAAACATCGAGTTTCTATTATATATAAATTTATTCAGGAAAGAAATTCGGATATAATGGAATGATCGAGCCAGACAAAATACCATGCTTGACATTAATCAATGGTTTTTCAATCGAAGAAACCAGGAAAATAGTAACTTGTATGAAATCATAACCGCTGATTTTAGATTCGAGCAACCAGAAATATATAACGTTGATTCGTAACCGCTGATTTTCGGTAATTGTACTCGAAAAGTATACACGTTTGTCCACAATTACTAGTTTCCAATCGGAGTAACACGTTTATCAACAGTCTCTGGTTTTCAATTTAAGTATCCCAATAAAACTTGTTCTTCCACAATTACATGTTTTCAATCAGAGCACCATGAAAATAGCTCCTTCATTCACAATTTTTTTTTTGTTTTCAATCGGAGCATCGAGGAAAGTAGTGTGTTCATTTATAACTACTGGTTTTCAATTAGGGTGCAAAAACGTAGTATCATTTTCACGATTATTGGTTTTTACGTTTACGGCTCCGTTATGTTAACAGAAGGGAAGTATGGACATCAATCAAAAATGACCCCCCAAGATTTTTACATTTTTGGACTCGGGAGTCCTTGAAACGTCGAGATATGGAAAAAATTCGGGTTTTTTTTCCTGTATGTACGGATATTAGTGTGTATTTGCGTGGCACAAATTTGTTCACCCTGTTTGAAGCTTAATAACTCTTGTGCCTTCTGTCGAAAATTTATGAAATTTTTCAGGGAGGTTTGTGTATTATGGAAATAGATGCTGCTAAATTTTTTCTGTTTAAAGGTAGAGAGGGTGGAGAGATAAAGGAGGTCGTGTATATATATCTCCAATAGCTTCGGACTTAATGACGATTTTACTCGTTATTAGCATTTACAATTTTTTTTATAAAACCCATCTCTACCCTCAAAATTAAGCTTTTTGCCATTTTATAATAATTAAAAATATATAAGTTATTTTTAATAATAAAATATCGTAACAGATGACGCCATACACGCAGATTTAAATGTTGCCGGGAAAGTTAAGCAACTCATTGCTGGATTTTTTAATCAGAGTTTCTGGAAAAATGTGTTAGTTTAAAATCCCGGTTACCTATCAGAACACAGAAAAGTCTCAGCACGTTTATTCATACGTAACGTTGATTAGTTACGTTACTGAGTTTTATTTTTAGTTTTAGTCGTTATATAGATGTAGTTTTAATACAAAAATTACGCCGACCACAATTACTGATTTTTAATTAAAGCACTTTGGAAGGTAGACTGATGGGTTCATTGGTAGTTACTGATTTTTAATCACAGAGCACGTAACTTCAAAAACGTAACACATCTCACCGTAATCACTGGTTTTCAATTAGAGTATCCAGGTAAACGTGTTTATTGTAACCATCGATTTTCAATCAGAGCACCAGAAAATTAGTACGTTTATCTACAAGTGCCTTTTTTTCAATCAGAATGCGCAAGAAAGTATCACGTTCATTTTTAATTAGAGAATTCAGAAAAAAAGTAATACGTTTATTCGAAACTACTGATTTCCAATTAGAATATCTCGAAAGCGAACGTGTTTATTTGCAATTATTGGTTTTCGATCAAAGTAT